CTCAGGGTTTCTGCAAATGTCCCAAAAGCAGAGCTCCAGTCACCAACAGGGCAGCCCTGCAGCACCCTTCTCTGCTGCCTGTGGGAGCCTCATCCTCCCCGCAGGCTCAGGTCCCTGTGGCAGGGACCAAAAGCTGGGGACACCCTCCCTCCATCACCAAACTGCCCGGCTCATGCCCTGCTCCCCACAGCTCCTCCTGGGAGGTGGAAGAGGCAGGTCCCACCACCCACCATGCTCAGTGGCGGTGGAAGGAGCGGGGAGTGGGTACGATACCATTCTGGCTGTAGCGGTTGCCCTTCTTTGTGCGCAGGTCTTCAGCCCGCAGCGTGAGCACCACCCTGTCGCACAGCTCGTAGTCAATGTCTGAGCTGTTCACCAGCACTGAGCCGTTGAGTGCCAGCACAAACCAGTCCCAACACACCTCCCCAGCGCTGCTTGCCCCCTTGAAGCAGGTGACCGCCAGCTCCTCGAAGACCAGCGAGTGGTTGGTGTCTGGGTCGGAGGCAACCAGTGTGTGGACCACACCCCGCTGCGTGCCGTTCTCGCTCACGTACACGTCCTGCAGTGAAGCAGGCAGGATGGTGGGGGGCTCGTCATTGATGTCTAGGATGTGGACCACCACCGAGACGTTGGCAGTCCCCCCCACATTGTTGGCGGCCGTGTTCTCCGCCAGCACCACCAAGGAGAAGAACTTAGGCTGCAGGTTGTCATAGTCCAGGGACAGGTCAGGGTCCATGGACAGGTTCCCACCATAGTGCCCTGGCCCCAGGCGGGACGAGCGGATCAAGAAGTTGCTGGAGCCACTGCTCCTCTGAAGTAGGAAGGAAATGCGGGAATTGATCTCCGTCTGGTCGGCATCTATGCCCTCCACCTCACCCACAAAGAACCCTGCAGGTGGAGACAGAGACTCAGTGGCCAGTGGGCACTGACTCTGGGACTCTGCTGGTCCCAAAAGCCTGACCATGAAGCTTCTACCTGGAGAGTCTTCAAAGACTGAGAACTCATAGGACTGGTTGAGGAACATAGGTGCATTGTCGTTCATGTCCTGCAAGAGATAAACTCCATGGTTGTAGCTGCTCCAGGAAACAGGGTCCCCCACAGCAGGGTGGGGACAGGAGCGTGGACACCTGCCTGCCTGCAAGCAGGAGGCACACAAGCTCACTCCTGCATCTCTGCATCAACTATTCCCTCTGCTCCCACAGAGAATTTGGGGACACAGTGCCCCTGCCACAGCTGGGGATCCCATATCCCCTCCCTGTCCTTATATCCCAGCTCCCAGCGCATCCCTGCTATGCCCAGGGCTCACCCCCACAGTGATAGTGACGTTCACCAAGGTGCTGAGCTGCGGCACGCCATGGTCGTACACCTCCACCGTCACCACCATCTGTCCCTGCTCATCTTCCAAGGCCTCGCGGTCCAGCGGCTCCCTGCTGTGCATCTCACCTGTGGCTGCGTTGATGGTGAAGTTGTTGCTGAATGGTCCTGGCAAGATCTTAAAGCCCAACTCACTGTTGCGGTTGCCAGGCTCGTCGTTATCGATGGCCTGAAAAGGTCAGGGATTGGAATGGTGCTGTCCAGCACCTTGGGGACAGTCCTCGCTCCTCTCCAACAGCCCCTCGTCATCCTCTCCACCTCTGGTGGTACATACCTGGATCTGCGTACTGACGTTCTGCCCCTCTTCCACCGAGATGAAGTAGGAGCCAGTGATGATGGGTGCCATGTCATTGTCGTCCAGCACGGTGATCTCCAGCATGGTTGTGCCCACCAGGTTGTCCCCATCCTTGGCCTGGAGGTTGGCGTAGTAGATGGAGCGAGTCTCCCGGTCCAGCAAGCTCCCATTCTGCACCAGCACTGCCCCGGTTGTGGCATTCACCGTGAAGATTTTACGGCTATGGGACACAAGGAGCTGTCACCAGGGCTCAGGCCTGGAGCCCCCTCAGTGGGACAATACCCCAGTTGTGGCTGGCTGTGCCCCTACGTACATGCTCTCTGGGAGCAGCTGGTAGGTGATCTGGCCCAGGACACCACTGTCTGGATCATAGGCCTAAAACAGAGAGAAAGAAGCATCCAGTCAATCCACCTCAGCCCCCAGGACAGTGATGTGTCTGGGGCACTGGCTGCTGGCAGTGAGCATCCCAAAAATGTGGCCCTGATAGGCATGTGGTCCCACACCCTCTGAGCCCACTGGCACCATCTCCTTCCCGTGTGCATGGACAGAGCAGTGCCCTCAACACCAGCAGTGCCAGGCTGCCCTGCTTAGGGAACATAAGCTGTGCCTGCTCCCTGCCCAGCACCTGACCGTGATGTTTGGGGAGATGATAGTGCCAGCAGGGCTGTTCTCCATCACGCTCAGGTTGTAGGTACTCTGGACGAACTCGGGGATGTGGTCGTTGCTGTCGATGAGATTGATGGTCACGGTGGCCGTGGAGCAGCAGTCCATGGGGTTCCCCTTGTCATTAGCAACGATCTGCATGATGGAGAAGGGGCAGTGTCTCACATGGTCCCCAAGCATGAGATAGAGACCTGTCACTCTCCAGCCCAGCTCCTCTGAACCAAACAAGCTGCCAGGGCAGAGCCATGTTCTGCTTTGGCTTTTGAGCCCTGCAGGAGAAGAGCTGTGTCCCTTCTGTGCCCTGGTATACACAGGGAGCAGGGACTGTCCCCATGGCGAACCTGCACCACCATGACATGGCTTATCTCGTAGTCCACAGAGAATGGGTCTTGCACCAGGAGCTGGACCTCCCCTGTGCCGACAATTTTTGCGGGGGAGACGGTGAAGGCGCTGGCATTTGGACCCTGCAGGTACAGCTCATAGTTGCTGTTGATGCCCTGCCAAGGAGACATGCAGAGGAGTGAGGATGGGTGGTGCAGCCAGGACAGGCATCTGTGCTCCAGCCCAGCCCTCTGGACAAGTTCCCACCTTGTCTGGGTCATGGGCAACGATGCTGAGGTTGGACACAGGCAGTCTGGAGGACGAGTGCTCTACGATGTTGCCCCTGAAGTTGTTCTGGGCACTGGTGGAGAAGTTGCAGCTGGGAAGGGAGCAGTGGTAGAACTGGGGCTTGTTGTCATTGACATCAGTCACCATGACTGTCACCAGGGTGCTGGCCTGTGCCACCTTGTTGTGGATGTCCCGGTTCTTCTCACGTGCCTGGGCGGGAGGAGAGAACAGGTTGGAAAGGCCCGGGGAGAGAAAGAAGATGGGGTTCCCCTTGCTGCCTCCTACTCACCATGACTTCCAGCAGCACTTCCTCACTTGGCAGCTGCTCACGGTCCAGGGGCCCACTCACAGTGATGGTGCCCGTCGTGGTGTTGATAGCAAAGGGGATGCTGGCATCTAGGGCAAGGGGACAGCAGAAACCAGCTGCAACCACCAGGACAAGCAGGCCTGGCCCTCTCTCTGCCAGCAGGGCAGGCTGGCAGCATCCAGGAGCCCAGAACCAGTCCCTGTGGTGCCCCTTGCTGCCTGATCACCCCCCCTGCCCATCCCACCCTGCCACCGCTCACCCCCCCTGCCCATCCCCCCCTGCCCCATCACTCACTGGTGATGCTGTAGTAGATTTCATCATTCACGCCTGTGTCTCTGTCCATGGCAGTGACAGTCAGCACAGTGGTGCCCTGCAGGGACACAGCCATCAGAGCAGGACCATGACATCTCCAGCTGTCCCCATGCCTGGTGGTGCAGACACCCCGGGGCCTCAGAGCCCCCAGGGGTAGGGACATGCTGCTGGGGCAGGCGGGCTCCTTACCAGGGCACAGTTCTCAGGCACAGAGCCAGAGTAGGGCTCGTTGAGGAACCGTGGGTCCAGGTTGGGTAGGTCCTGGATGGTCAGGGACAGGTAGGTTGAGCTCTGCTGGAAGGTCAACATGTTGTGCAGCATCCCCCCACCGTCCTGGGGAGCAGAGCACCCGTTAGTCCCACGGCACGCTTACCTGGCAGCCCCGCGCCCCCATCCTGGCTGGCCGCCACCTTGGCGAGGATCTTGAGCTGGTAGAAGGTGTTCTGGGCGTAGTTCAGTGAACCATTGAGCACCACGCTCCCGTTGGGCAGGATGTAAAAGAGCCAGTGATTCTTCATGCTGTCTGGGATCACCTGGGCAGGGAACATCATCCCATGTCACCAAGGCAGGGAGCAGAAGTGCCCCAGCAGAGATGGGGGCTCAACCCCCATCCTTCTGCCAGGCTTGGCCTGCAGGCTGTGAGGACCCCCTACCACCTGGCTCATCCCCAGCTTGCAACTGTTCAGCACCTTATGCCCAGTGCCCAGGCAGCCCTCCTGACCTGACACATACCCCTGCTCCCCCAGGACCATGAGACTGCCCCTGACCAAGTCCCCCAGCACCTGTGTCCCATGAAGGTGGCTCAGGAGTAGGTTTCAGGTATGGCATGCCCCACTCTGCGATGCACTGCTGCTCTCCAGCAGGCACGAACCCCTCCTTGATGCTGGGGAGTGGGCAGGCTCAGGGGAGATGCCAGGGCCTGCCCTGGCTCAACGCCATCAAGCCACGTCACCTTCCCATTGGCACAGAGTGCTTGCTGGGGAGGTCCTGGGACACCCAGCATCCTCCCAGCTCCCACACCCCAGCACGCTGAGGTCCCAGCCAGGATGATGCCTGGGTTGTTGGAGCTCATCCCCGCACTCACCTCTTCAATGCTGTAGCTGACTTTGGAGGCATTCCCGTTGTCGCGGTCATCAGCAAACACGGTGTAGATGATGCTGTTGAGTTCCATGTTCTGGGCACACAGAGGGGTGGTGGTGGCATCACCCAGGAGAGCAGGGGTGGTGGTGCTGGGCCCAACCCCTGCCAGCCCTGCTCTGGGATGCTCTGGCCCCGCAGGGCTCCAGGGGTTGCCCAGTGCTGTGGGCCATGCAGGGATGAGCTCCTGCCCTTGCTCACACTGGGCAGAGGCTGGATCCCCCCTGCCATCCTCCCTGGGGCTCCCTGGGAGAAGGGGCTGCAGCCTGGGGCTGCTGGAGGGGTCGGGCTCAGCCCCACACCCTGTTTGCACCCTGATCCAGCCTCACCCTGGCCTGGGCTGAGCAGCAGCTCGGGCACTCCTTGATCAGAAACTCATTGCAAGGGCAGAGTCCCAGCGCCTTGGACCGGCACAGAGGCACGCGCCGGGAACTGCCATGGCACAGAGCACTCCCAGGTCAGACTTGCCGGCTGCACCATTGCCCCATGCCCAGGCGTGAGGTCACCCCGTTCCTGGCACACCACTGTCTCACTGCTGGCACACCCATGCCATGGGAGCCACCCAGCACCCCTGTCCTGCTGCCCACAGGGGGCGGGAGGTCCTGGGAAGGTACCTCAGGGATGGAGGTTTCATACGGCAGGTGCTGGAAGACAGGAACATTGTCGTTACGGTCATCCACGATGATCGTGAGCTTTCTGGAGACCTACCGGTGTCAGGGAGGGCACAGGGTGAGTGAGGGAGATGGTGCTCAGTAGATATGGGTGCAGCTCTGGCACCCTGCGTCCCCCTGGCTCTTAAGCCAGTCAGCATCATCCACCCCTGGGCAAAGCCCACCTCCAGCCCCCTTCCCCACCGAGCCTTGTCCGCAGCCCCGCTGCAGCCACCCAGCCCATGCCCTGGCACTCACTACTTCGTTAATCCCATCGGACACCTCGACCATGATGGTGAGCTTGGCCTGGAGCTGGAGGGACACAAGGCAGGACTTGGTCAGGGCCAGGCGGAGCTTGATCCTTGGATGGCTGAGCCCCAGTGCCCTCCCACCCGCCACCCCTGGGTGGGATGCTCGTCCCAGGTGGCTCTCCCACCCAGAGCCAGGCTCTGCTCTCCATCCCCGTCACCCAGACACCCCAGCTCCAGCAGGGACATCTGTCCCAGTCTTTGTCCTCACCTCACGGTCCAGGGAGCTCCTCAGCGTCACATTGCCTGTCTTGGGATCGACAGAGAAGTAGAAGGCATCTGGCCCGCTGATGCGGTAGGTGAGCGGGTCCCCATCAATGTCAATAGCTGCCAGCTGGAAAGCTTGCTGGCCTGGGGACATGGGCAGTGTCAGTCCCTGCCCAGGCATCCCCCCCCGGCCACTCCTCCTGCACCCTGGGGCCTCCCTGAGGCTGCCCCACTCACCCAACTCCAGGTCCTCAGGCACGTAGACTAAGGTCATGTTGAAGAAGGGGGCTGTGTTGCTTGAAACTGCAAGGAGAAGGTGTGCTGAGCACCACCCCTGCGCCAGGCTCTGCCCGCACCCTGCACCCCTGCACCTGGCAGCACCTACCTAGCTCCAGCCCCAGCTCCCGGACATGGTTTGGATCTCTGGGAGAGGCAGGGGAACCCACCACCCCTCACCTTCCGTGTGCTCATCCCACACCTCCCACCTGAAGACCAGACTGCATTACCCATGCTGGGTGATGTCCCCCCTGCCCAGCCCCCTGCCCGCGCTGCCTTGCCCTGGGGCAGCAAGATTGTCATTGGGGCAGCAAGGTTGCCATTGGGGTGGGCAGCTGTTTTGGTGGTCCCAGCTGTCCTCAGGGAATTTGGAATGAGTGTTGGGGGCTGAAAGCATCTCCAATGCCTCCTGCCCACCTGTGCCAGCCACCGAGCAAAGTCCTCACCTGCTGCCAGGAGGAAGGGGAGCAGCAGCAGCGAGGGCCATGCCATCCTGCCGGCGAGCCTGTGGGCACACACGCCCCTGGGGCAGGAGGGGCTCTAGTGGGGGCAGTCCCGTCCCCTGAGCTGGGCTGGTGTGCAAGCACCAGGCTCCATCCTGCATCCCCGGGCACAGGGTCTCTGGGGACATGGCATGGGGGGACAGGGTTCGCCTCCAGGCACTGCAGACCACGGGGGTGCTTGGGGACCCCAGGAGCCTCTCCTGGACATGGCTGGAGGTTCCATCACTTGGGCTCAGTGGGGCTACCCCAAGCAGCACTTGGAGCCCAGGAGCAATCTGTGACACCACCGTACTGTCTGCCCTCCTTGTGCCATGGCCCATGGGCAGCCCCACGGTCGACAGACCCCCCCACCTCTCCCCGTGATGGACCATAGTGCCTGTGGGGGCCAGGGCGGGGGCCGACATCCCTTACCTGCGGCTGCGTCACTGGGGATGCTGCTGGATGGGCTGTTCTGCGCTCGCACCCTGACACCACCAGAGACCTTTGCCTCCTGCAGTAAAAACACTCATCAATTATTAACTGCAATTAAGGGGTGAGACATCCCTCTCTCATCTTCTTTATTCCTTGTGCTCATCCCCCAGCTCTCACCCAGCCCAGCCCCACACTCACTCCCCAACCGCAAGCCCCCACGCTGGGTGCTGTCCCCCAGGGTTCAGTCACCCCAACCTGCACCCATGGGATTCTGGCTCCCAGGAGGGATGCAATGCCTGCAGGGATGCAGAGGGATCCTGAATCACCCCAGGGCACTGGAGAGGAGCTGGGCAAATGCCCTGCCATCCCCTGGGCTGGGGACACTGGGGTCCCACCAGGACAGGGGGTGGGCACCAACCCAGAGGTGTGGCTACTGGGGCGGGTGCCTGGGGCCCTCTGCACCCCCTTGCTACCCGCTACCCTCCCCGGGGGCTCAGCCCAGCCTCCCTGACCTACTTTGGACCCACCGGGGACAAGGGTGGATTGTGCAGCTCCGCTCAGGCAGAAGAGGACTGGGAGGCAGCTGGGGAACACGCGGGGTCTGGACGCCAGGGAAGCTCTGGGGTCCCCCAGATGCCCAGCCTACTCCGAGGTCCCCATCTCACCCCGCACCTGGGTCAGGGAGCCCTCAGAGAATGGGTTATGGGGGACCAGCCTGCGACCCCCCTTCTGCAAACCTCGCCAAGGCTGGTCTAGGATCCCCCCAGCCCCTGCAAAGGCTGCCCTGGGACACGCCCACAGACACCCCGTGGGCTGCCTGGGGGTACCCCCTGAGCCCCCCCCCGGCCTGGCTCAGGATGAACCCCCTGAGCCCCCGGGGGCTAGTGCTGGACAACCCTCTGCAAAC